GGTCGCTTCTTGAAAATAGCTATATTGCTCAGTGGGCCTCACTTGGTAAAAGAAAAAATAGTTTAGTTTTAACGAGTACCCATTATCATCACCACTACAAACGGTGTGCTGGTGTAACCGGTACCACTTACTCCCTACTCGTTTTAGGCCAAGTCAACCTCATCGTGGGCCAACACAGAGGTCCCAACACCACAATGCCGACTGTGGTGGGTGTGTGTGTGGCCTAGAGTTGGCCTGATATACTACCTGTCAATTAATATGTCAATGTGCATGCACACGCACACACAGTATGTACAATATACTTCCCTTTCTGTCAGTTCACTAATGGATGAGGGCCTCCCTATGTCACGTGGGTCGTGGGGGTTTATTGACCGCGCTTCACCACATTGCTCAGTGCGAATACGTGACGGTGGGGAGCGGAGACACGGGATCACAGTACTGTACAACAAATATTGTTTGCTGCAGTGCCCTCTGCTGACCGCAACGTAACATGGCCCCGATGCCAACCTGGCATGCATGGCAGTCGCCCGTCCAAGCACTTTACAGGCCCAGTCTTGCTTAGCTTCCGAGAACCGACAACATTGTGATCATGTGCACACACACACACACAAGCATAGACGCGGCACGCTATATGCGAGGGTAATGTTGGCCCAATAGGTCCAGACTTCTCGGGTTAATCCACAGGCACTGTCACTTGTTACAGAGTCTTGCAAATAGACAGCAGGCAATGTTCCGATGGTTTCCTGCACCAGCGAAATTTCGCTCACTGGAGCCCTCACATTTCCGTGAGGCAAAGGCACAGTTCAACGCTTGAAAAGCAACTTTGTGCCAAAAAAACGACTCTGTGCCAAATCCCACCCTCGCAAACGTGGGGTGATGTGGTATGGTACACGATTCCACATGATCCGAACAGAATTCGGATTGGTCCCAAAATGTGATGCTACGGGAATGTTACTTCAATTCCGTGCTTTCCCATCACGTGCCGTTGCGCGATATCATTTCGGTGATACGTGACGCCGCTTTTCGCTTAATTTGGTAAAAATATATTTTTTTATTACATTTTCATTATGGTTTTACCAGTGGAACTTTGGAAAAAAAAATTCAAATAATTAATATTTAAGTTGATAAAAAATTCGTATATTTAGGTTCGTAAATAATGAATATTATAACAATGTATACAGTAGGTTTGAATACGATAATACAAAATCAAATGAGAAATTGAGTCTAAAAATAAAAAAAATCTAATATCCGACAAAATGCACTGCCCTGTGGCAGTTTAGCACTGGCGGTACATGCATCACGTGCTCCCTCGAGCTGGAGAGGCGATTAACCTGCCAGAAACAATGCACACAGGACAGGTAACTAATGATAGTTATATATACTCAAAGGAGGTGGTCTTGGAGAATAAAACATAACTTTAACACCAGCATAATTTTCACGTTCAGATGACTCCACCAATGTTTGCGTTTCGTTCCCCAGCAACACCTTGTGCCGGCCACCAGCTTAATAAGAGAACATTTAAATTTAGGCTATTGTACGCTGATGCATTTCTCATTAAAACTAATCATTTTCCTTGTGTAATCCTCTGGGCTTAACATTCAAACGCACTGCCTATGACTCTAGCACCCCCCCCCCACCCTCCCCCGTTTGCTCGTGAAGCCAATCACTCAATAGTCGAAGCGACTGTCACAGGTTCATCGACGCCTGAGACCGTGGTGCTTCTCTCGTTCATTTCCTCATCACCCGCCAGTCGGTGGAGGACACTACAGACGGAAGACGTGTGTGTGTCCCTACAAGGGTACACGGGCACTTCTCTATAAAGCGACAGTTTGTTTCATGTTATCATCGATCTGTAAACACCCGCAGCTCTGCACTGACCCACTGACACAACCTCAGGCCTGCAATTCGCAGTCTAGGTAGATGTATTTATTATATGGCGGAATAAGCATTTTATGTATTAGCACGGGTGGCTACGTACGGTGCGAAGGAAGTTCAACATACGTACATACAGCAGTGCTCGTCTTAATTTCACTGGCAGATGAAGGCCCCCCCCCCCCCCCCACACACACAGTTGCAGGTCGTGGAGGTTATTCGACCACTACACTCCACAGACCGCTGGGTCAGTTGTGGCTTGAAGGTGGGAAGCATAGAGGAGGGACCAGATAATGCAGAGTACAAATATGGATGTTGCTGTACTGCCCACAACATCGCCACGCAGTACCGCATACTGTGTGTATATATGAAAAGACATTATGTGCTTAGTGGTCGCCCATCCACGCACTTATCCAGGCTCAAAGCTGCTTAGCTTCCGAGATCTGTCACATTACGGGTGAGTTTATAATACTCCATTTGTCGCTGCGCTATATACGTGTTTATTATTTGGTCACCTGTTACGAAAAAAATTACCGGTACTTGTGTATGCCTCCGCTTGGAAGCATTGCCTCCACCACTCCAGCCTGCTCGGTACAAGCGCCTCCGTGGCTTCCCACGACCATCCTTCACTGTGTGTGTTTGTAGTTGTCAACCTACCGAGTCGTACACATTGTACTAGGGAGGAACCTTTCTTTAAGCATGTGCTAGCCCACGCGGATTGATCGTCTCCGTTTCAAGTGGTGAGACAGACCTGTGCAATTCGCGGTTACATTCAGACCAGTGCCGGATTATCCCAGTAGCAAAAGTATCTACATGTGCAGCTACGGGCCGCGCACTTTCAAGGGCCCCGCGCTAAATGCTTTCAAGCTATCAATTCCGGTTCAGTGATTCTGCACTTGCCTTCGAATTTTATGAACGACTGGGTGTTTAAGGTTAGCGATTTGTCGTATTATCTGGCTGCATAGCAAATGGAAAAATACAATTATTTTACCATGCAAGTTAAACATTTGTTTTTTTAATAATAGAGGACACAGCACAATAGAAGTGAACCAAGTCACATTTATAAATTACTAATGTCATATTTACGCGATCTAACCCAAAAAAACCTCTCTGGATGATATTGGTCGCGAAAGCCTCCGTGTTAATTTGTGTTTTAGTATTTATGTAAATGTTTCATTTAGGGCCCCTTTGTAACATAATGTTACAGGACCCGCACTAGCTTAATCCGGCACCGATTCGGACCATCGTCATTATTGTTGATAGATGCTTTTGATGGGGTTTTTTTCATCCGAGCATAAATGTCGAACAGGAATTTACCTGCACGTAATGTGACAATTTGGAACTTGGTGTTACGTTATTTTATTGTTTTACACTGGCTCAGGAAGGCCTATATTTGTGACTGGTGTCACGGCATCTTTATCGGTGTTCTGTACTATATTACCTGCCAGTGGCGAGGATTAAACTCTCACTACTGTGCTAATTGCCAGGAGGCGAGAGTGCAACATTTACGATGTCGTTGTCCTCTGCATTGTTACGATACGTTAAGGCGCACAGCCGTCTGTCCTTCAACGGGGTGCAGCGGGTACGAAATCACCTCCCACGCCACGATTACTTAAATTACAACCTGGAGCACAGCGCATCTGTATCATGTTGAACTTCTTTCTCGCCGTACGAGGCCAGAAATGCTCATCGGAGGTGGTGTTCATCGTGTGAAAGCACCGTGACGTCATAGTCACATCATCGCGCGTCTCCATCACCATGAATGGCTGATGTCCTCGTCATCATCATCGTCGTCACCATCATCATCATCGTCGTCGTCGTCGTCAGCATCATCATCATCGTCGTCATCATAATGTAGCGACTGCTGGAGGAGTCTTTTGCAAGCCGAAACCGGTGGGACGGCAACAAACGCTGTTTGCCAATCTTACTCTCCGTTTGAATGCGGATTCTGTCGGCACACGCTGCACGCGCACGATGATTGCTAAACAACAGCCAGACGTTGCGCATAAAGGGAGCACCGATTAAAGTCGAGAGTGCGAATACACCACGCCGGACACAAAGACAAAGATCCCCCGTGTAGCCTTAAGAGACTGTTGGGGCAAGTGCCGTTAGCGAGCACCTATGAAGGCCGGCACGGCACACAAGGGGGTGTGTGGGTGGCCAGCATCACGCCCGGCCGCCTTTGTATCCCCATTGTTGATGTTTAAACACCACACACGGGAAATCATTTGAGGCCGAGTCGACCTAGGGGAGAGCCCATGACCGTTTCAGATAATCGTCACTGGTGTTGGCCGTGAGCGGGAATCGAGCACGGTCACCCGGTTAGTAGCGCAGCACCCAAACGGCTACACCACCGCTCCCCACCCGGACACAGACACACGACGCATACTCGGATTTAGGGCTCGCTTCTTTGCACGGGTGGTGGGGGGGGCTATTTGTGTTTGTTTAAATCATCATGCGCGAGCAGTGTGTGTAGCGACTTGATTCTCTGTGCGATCGTGGAGAATGCGATAGTGGAGAATGAGATAGTGGAGAATGCGGGTAAGCGTGGACAGGCGTGTCCAGGAGGAGGGCACAATCGAGTGCCTAACGTTCTCTTCACCGGACTGTACGTATGTTGAACTTCTTTCGCACCGTGATAATCGGAGGTTGCAGGCGTTATTACCTGTCAGCCAACACCTGCCCCCGAGCCACGTGGGCGGGCGGGGGTATGATAAGTTAATGTGCATCCGAGCAACGCATTAAGCCGATCAAAAAAGACAAGTTCTGAAACGTACAGCAGCTAGCTCTGCGATGCGTTTTGGAATTGTACCGCGTGATGTTCGGCACGATGTGTCCGACGCGCTGGGATCATTCATTTCTGAAGCTCCCAGACACGTGGAACGAAACGTCGGACACCGAACAACTCACGCCCGTCACAACCCCAATAACCCATCGGAGAGAGAGAGAGAGAGCCGCACAATCGCAAAACCGCTCCAACCTGCCTCGCTAGTTCCAGCGCAATCCCCACCGCCGCTGAACCAAACACGAAGACCAACAAACTTGGGGAACCACCTGATACACCAACAACAACAACCTGTTGTCACCTAGCGCCGCTCCTCTTTTCCATCCACCACCACCGCGCTTACCTTCTGGTCGGCCACGGAGCAAGCCAGCTCTCTCACGGCTCCCAGTGACAGCTCGCTCGTCTCCAGAGTCACGGGCTCCCGAGTGAGCCCGATTTGCAGGTGAAAGGAGATCCCGATGAAGGACGCCCTGCGCACGCCCGGCGAGCAGGGCGCGTGGCCCGGCGACAGGGTCAGCGTGAGCAGCGTCGTCCCGTCCGCTGCTTGGGCCGACACCGTTGGAACCACCAAACGGCCCCCCGAAGGGGATGTCGAGAGGTTGGGACTCGACATCCCGATGGGGAGGTGGGGGTCGGGATGCAGAGAGGGGGGTGGGATGGGGTGGGGGGGGTGTCCGTGTCACCTCTCGCTGTGTGTGCGTGTTACCCTCCGCTTTTGCTTTGGACGAAAGCAACAAAAAAAAGACGACAAAACCTCCAAGTGAAATCGGCAGCGACGATGGGGGTGGTGGTGGTGGTGGTGGGGGTTGGAAGAAGAGCGGAGCTCGAGGTGGGGTATGAAAGTCTCAACGGAGCCACGCGACCAGAGGCATCACCACCATCATCACCACCATCATTATCATCACCACCATCGCGAGCATCACTCCGCTTTGCGCCGCACGTGCCGCCTCTGAGTTGGGGCTCGCTGGCGGTTGCGCCTCTCGCTTTTACATTGGGTCTGCTGGGGGAGAGGCGGAGAGCTGTGGGAGGGGAGAGGGAGGGGGAGCGAGGAGGAGGGATCGGGGTTGGAGCGAAGCGTCCAACAGCAGCGGCAGCGCCGCTCCGCCTTGCAGAGCGCCGAGCCATTGGCTGCGCGCTCCACCCGAAGATCATCATCATTGTCAACATGTACAGCACCACCACTACCATCATCATCGTCAACATGTACAGCACCACCACTACCATCGTCATCATCGTCAACACGTGCAGCACCACCACTACCATCATCATTGTCAACACGTGCAGCACCACCACTACCATCATCATTGTCAACATGTACAGCACCACCACTACCATGATCATCATCATCGTCAACACGTGCAGCACCATCACTACCATCATCATTGTCAACATGTACAGCACCACCACTACCATCGTCATCATCGTCAACACGTGCAGCACCACCACTACCATCATCATTGTCAACACGTGCAGCACCACCACTACCATCATCATTGTCAACATGTACAGCACCACCACTACCATCGTCATCATCGTCAACACGTGCAGCACCACCACTACCATCATCATCGTCAACATGTACAGCACCACCACTACCATCGTCATCATCGTCAACATGTACAGCACCACCACTACCATCGTCATCATCGTCAACACGTGCAGCACCACCACTACCATCATCATTGTCAACACGTTCAGCACCACCACTATCATCATCATCGTCAACACGTGCAGCACCACCACTACCATCATCATTGTCAACACGTGCAGCACCACCACTACCATCGTCATCATCGTCAACACGTGCAGCACCACCACTACCATCATCATTGTCAACACGTGCAGCACCACCACTACCATCGTCGCCGTCAAACGAAACCGCGCATTGTCACGACTACGTTGGTTTTAGTGACGCCGATGACGATGGTGATGACAGCGATGGAAATTTATGAAATAAGGAATGCTTGCTCGGGAAAAAAAACTAAATAAGGACACGGGAAGGCATGCAATTAGCCAACCGTGCTTCTATCGCAAGTAGAATCAAGTGAGGCAACCGTACTACTATCACACCTTCGATTAGAACGGTTTGCTACGAACGGTGCGAAAGAAGTTCAATATGCATACGCACAGAAGGGATACAAGAGCGCACACGCAACGCTTTGGTTAATGTGGTACAAGGAAGCCATACAATTGCTCACCTGCCATATACGCGTACCTATAGAGCACCAGCCATGTTAAATACATTCACACACACACGTGTAACAGTCACGCGCAATTCACATACGTGACAGACACACACAACAGTCGTACAACATTCACACACAGCAATCACGCTACATTCGTACACACATGGCAGTCACAGAACACATTCGCATACACAACATTCACACATTAACACCAGCTACGTAAAAAAAACGAAAAAACCAAAGAGTATGAATCATTGCAGTCACGAAAGCTTCAAATCTAGAATTCACACAGCATTCACACAAACATTTGCCACTTACGCATTGCACTTTATCCACTTTCAAAATAAAAACCCACAAATCACTAAAGAATTATGTGTGTTACACAGTATTGCCAACCTGCGATTAGATTGTGTTTAGTATTGCTCTCAGCGTGTTGCATTGATACGCTACATACATCAACATTGTTGGTTTTAGTGAGCTAAGCAGGGCTGAGCGTGGCTATCACTTGGATGGGAGTCTACTTCGGAATACTGTACTGTAACAAGTGTGTTGTAGACTTTGGCACAGCCTTTATATGTACTATATGTAGAACTTCTTCGCACCGTACATAGCCAACCGTGCTAAACGGAGGTGGCTAGGAGATGGTAGTACAGCTGTGGATTCATGAATCTATTTTTTTATTTTACCAGTTAAGACCCATTGAGCTATATAACTCTTTTTCAGAAACCACCTGGCAATCACAAATTATTGCTCAACAAAGTGGCTTATCACGTGGAAATGCATAGCAGTGGCCAACTCCTCTTAAACGCGTGACGTTGATTCCAAATGTCGAGGGAGAAACCGGAGGAGCCGGAGCAAAAATCCACATGAGCACGGGGAGAGAAACCACGCAAACTCGAAACATACAGAAGGCGTTAACAACCCGCCCACGCGGTCTATACCGAGCTGTGAGTGTTCCCCTCGTGTCCAGCGAGTTGTGGTTTTCTCCAGGTCCTTGAGATTGCTCGCACATGGAGCCAGGCATTCATCATTAAAATAATTGGCCAAACATCCAAGTGCATGAGCACCCTACTCAGGAATTAGTCTCGATACACATTGAAGCTTTTCTATGTCAATATCATGGAGCATCATAATCATCATCGGTCAATCCACCGCTGACTGAATGATTCTGCGATACAATAATCCACATAGCACCTGCACGCGAGCTGATTTCATCGATCCATGTCCTCAGTGGACCACGGATTCCTTTCTTTGGTTGCCTCTCCCGTCAATACTCTTGACCCTCAGCCATCATCCCTTCGAGTGACCTGCTCCTATATTTATTCATCCGTGTACGTTCAAATGTCAATTCTGTAATTGACGAGAACGCCCGTCAGAACAAGAAGAACTGCGACAAAAAACGGAGCAGGCCACAAAGCGACGTTTCAAACAACGCAAACTGAAAACACGTGTGACTGTTTTGTAACTGCGTATGTGCTCTGATCCACGTGTTCCTCTTTCACTCTCGATATTATCACCATTAGGCCCGTTCATATACTTACAAATGCATTCGCAATTGATCTAACATATATAAGATAAACTGGTAACATGACCGTCCGTCAGTCCGTCCTTCTCTCTATCTCCAGCGCGCAAAACTTTTTGTTCGAATATACATCCTTATCATTGAACCTCTGCGATGAGCGAGCGGGTCAAATGAGCCCCCACGCACCGCGCCATCTCGCCGAGCGGCAGGGCACCTGTCCGGCTGCACGCGCGCCGTTGACGAACCCGGCGACGCACGTGGAATCGTAATGGAGCATTAATAGAAGCGGACTGTCGCCCCTCGTCGCACGCGGCATCTGGCGCTAACTACACAGAAGGCGGCGCTAATGAAACCACCTGTGGCGTGGGCTCGCTTCGTCGATCGGCGCGTTACGCACTTGGAGCAACGTGAACTGCGAAGGATTAAAATACGCACGTTCATCGGTTTCTATGCTCCGTGAATCACACGTGGCCTGTTATTGAATGTGGGGGTTTTCCTCCTCATAGGGTGAATGTTCCACGATGAACTCGGTTTCCGGAGGGTTGGCTACGTACGGTGCTAACGAAGTTCAACGCACAATGCCAGAGGGCTTTGAGGGAGCCTCGGATTTTACTGCCCACCCCCCAATATATTTCTAATGTTTGTATATACAATATTGGTACTTACAGCAACCGCATCATTGTTGGCTACGAGCCGAAATTGAAATGGTTGGGTTCGCTTTAACTTTGGTTTTGCTTCCCAACCCGCACATCACATTAAAAAAAACTAGAATAGCCAAGGTGAATAACGACGGTGATGGTGAAACAGTATAAGAAAGGAAATGAATATCCAAAGGAAGGACCCCACAATTATTACAGTCCCATCAAACTGAATCCAGCCCTGCGCAAAGGTTGATCCGCCTGAAAAGTGCCTGACAAATCAATGGGTGTCATCATTCAACCACGGATTGCGGCTGAGTGCAGGATAGCATATTGCACAAGCAACACATTATCAGTTATTACAGCCTTCACTCTGCATTTCACGAAATGTTTAATGACATGAGATTTGTAAATCATTTCTCCATTTGCTTAAATAACTCCTGGAATAGACGCTATGTGTGTGTGGCACAGATTTTTGGAATCTTCAACCATTCTCTGTTCTTCAAGATGCAGAGCCATCGCTTTCACAACATTCAATCAGCTTATTTGGAAGAAACTAAGACGGTCGTTAGACATCAGTGTGGTGCCTTTATATAGATCACCTTCTGCAGAGCCGGTTAGTAGGCATGCCCTCCAGCTGCGCTTAGCAAATTATCCATCAGCCTAGCTTTGACAACGAATTGGCCAATCATTCATTGCTGTTTTGTATGCAGATAATTCTGTAATTAAGCTATCAGCCTCTATCTCCATGTCTACTTCGTCTGCGATGTTCGCATGCCATCTGATCCCCGTGTTTGGTGACGCAGGTTGGTTTGTGATCCATGTGCAGATGTCGATGAATTAATCGCCTGGGTTTAATTTTGACGGGAATCTACGCCATTGGCTGCTTCCGTGGTGTGTGACATTGCCCCCTAACAATCTTTGGTAATGCAACAGAACCAATACTATTTAAAATCGTATTCACTTTTATTCCAGTTCTGCTATTGGTGTAACAGATTAACCCATGATTAGAGCCACGTCACGTGTCGGTCAAACTGATTTTGCAGTGTTCCACGCTCCTTTGCACGCTTTTCAGTTAATCTCTCTCTATATCCCTAAATCAGCTCGAGTTTCCCGTAAAATTACGCGACTTCTGTATGCCCCCCCACCCCACCCCCCACTTTGAATCTCTCCCATATCCTCGCCTCCTATAAAAAAAACAGACTGCTCCGTGGAGCAGCGTCAAGACCCTCATCTCTCCCGACGCTTTGGTCCCGGTTTTCTGTTCCTTTTCCATCATTTTCCTCTTATTGCCCATGCTTTTCCGTCTTTCTTTTTCTATTCCCAAACATTATATCAGTGACTCATCTCCCTTTCCGTGGTATGCCACGGTTACTAAGTTGCTAGGATAGAAAACAAATCATCCATCCGTATATGATGATGATGATGTTTGTGGTGGCTGTGTCGCACGCGTGCCTAACGTATTCTTATCATGAATGCATCATGAATTAATCTTTCCCTTTAGAAAAAATACTCTGCATCCCTTAAATAAAAAATGGCCTGCGCTTGGATATACCACAACAGCATTAAGGGCCCAACCATAGACACACACAAACAATCAGGAGTGATTATAATCAGTCGTAATTGGGCTCAAACAGCCAACTCACTTCGGTGTGAAATGGAAGAAAAAAATGTAGGAAATGGCAGAGGTGCACAACCACGCGTGTAAAAAACCAACAACACGTGGCTCATTAAAACTACCATATGAAATAAAATAAAAACATTATAGGCTAATGTTGCGTCATACCGTAGTG